AAGCAATTTTCAGATAAACCTGTCATATCCTACTTTTTCCTCCTCATTTCCTACCCCAACCCCCCTAAAAATCCTCCTCTTAGATGGTTACGACTCTGCATTCAATCGAAATGGGAGGAAGCAATTCCTTTGGCTCTAAAAATGGCAACTGAACAAGGAAGAATGAAGTTTACTCGACCCTTATTCAAGTAAGAACCAAGTCAGACTATGCTTTGACTTTATAGAAGGAATGGGAAAGGAAAATCTTACACAGCTGTCTTTGTTATTGCTAAATTTAACTCTAAAGTGCAATCTAAAAATAATATTTTAAATTTGTTTAAGATTATAGATATAATTTTGGGATAGGAATGAACACGTCTAAATATTTAAAATTTGAGATGATTTCATTAGTTTTTTAAGGAGCATTATATATGGATTACCTATTACGGGCCAAATAGGGCTAGACGCTGGTGAAAAGAAAAAAAAATTGAAGACAATCTTACATACACAGAAAGATCTTTAAAAGCAAGTAGAAGATAATTGGTGAGTAAGGATGGACAAGAAAAAAAGAGTCAAATTAAATGCAAGAAGAATTGAGCAGGTAAATTCAAATCTTTTTGATTCAGATGTTGCAAAGAAGTCTTAAGAGCAGGTTGCTTGAGAAAAGTTGTATCTTGGCCACAAGATACAAGTTAAGAATATCTTAGAGAAGTTATGTTGACTATGGATTTGGCAGAATTCTGAAAAAAAAAATACAACCGTGACATAAGTATCTATTATTAATCTGTTTACTTTTCAGTTACTTCACAAGTATAATACAATTTGCCAAAACAAGTCAACAAGTCATTATCTATCTTTCTTTTTTCTTTTCTTTATTATTATTTTTTTTTTTTACAGGGACCTTGCTGCCTTTGACAAATCCCACGATCAAGCCATTCGTACCTTCCAAGAGCACAGAGCGAGTATGCACCCCGTGACTGCCATGCTTGTGGGGAAGGATTTAAAAGTGGATTAAGGACCTGCCCATGGCTGATTTCAGACATTTCTCTTTTTAAAAAATTAATTCATAAAGAAATACAAAACTTCAACTCACACTGTAATGAAAAATGTCATTTTAGTTTTGGCTTTTTAATGTTTTCTCAGTGATCTTTTTTTCCATAAATAAAGCTGAGCTACCTCCCTTCCCCCACTCCTGGTGGCATGTTCTTTATAAAGTGAATTTTAGCAAAGTTTAACCTTTTGATTTATAAATGTCAATTTTTAAATTAGTTTCATATTCATTTTCTCCCAGTATGGTCACAAGATACATCAACATATTATTTACCCTGTACTTTATGCTCTTTAAATGGAATCTGCTGCACACCAAAACTTCAACATGATTAGAGTTTTGCTTTTAAAATAACCTTAAACATGAACATTCACTTAGATTTGCTTGTCACCCAGCTGATGGACACAGGATGAACTCTGACCAAAATGTATGAACTCTAGTGAGAACGTTCTGCTCCCCACGCCTGGGTCCACCTACTGACCCACTGGACCTGTCTTGTTCTCCTGTCCGTTAGGGTCAGATGGCCACCCCGAAAACTCCCACTTCCCATCAGTCCCTCAGGTACACCTGACAGTCTATTCAGCCTGCCTCAGCTCCTTATTTTAGTGGTCAGCAACTATTCTCCACCCACATCGAATATACAACACAGAGAAAGAAATAATTGAAAACAATACGACAACTTGAGCCAAGTGAGAAAGTAACAAAATACCCCCATGAGTGTATGCAGTGCCCCAGGTGCCTCAGCACACGGTTTGGGCACCCCTATTGTATTAGTTTAGATTCTTTGATTGTAAGTGACAGCAACCCCAATGACTAGAAGTCAGAAGAGGAAAAGGAGGACTATTTTAAGGCTACAGAGTTGGGGAAGGCTATCAGAATCTGAGGACAGACAGAAGGGGACAGACACTGGGACTGCAGAGCCATCAAAACTCTTGTCTCCCTTTTCTGTTTCTCTGGTCCATATTGTATAGTCTGGCTACCCCCAGCTTTACTGTTGCAGATAGCTCTTACCACATGGAGAGACTGTCTTAGTTTCAGATTCCCAGAGGGAAGACTCTAACCCAGCTTGGGCCCTGGCCAAATCAACTCTAGCAAAGAGAAATGGTGTCTTAGAGTATAAATGTGGGTGGGAGTATATCATCAATAAATACCCACCCAAAGTGCTAATGTAGTAAAAATAACAAGAACAACAAAGTCTTAAAATACATAGAAGCAAACACCCAGATAGTGGGGCAGATATCAAAGAGGCAGATTCCTGGCCCTTCCTGTAATCCTGAGTCTTCTCCCCTGTTCTCACTCCCCTAAGCAATTCTCTCCTTTTGGACATGCATCTACACTGCAGTGTGATTCTGTTTCTCAAGGCTCTGCTCTCACTTGGCTCCATCCCAGGAATACCAAAAGAGACAGTTCAGCTCAAATCCCTGGTATATAATCACATTCTAAGTGATTAGATTTTAGCAAATCCATGGACCCAGATGATGCTCTTGGAGGCTTCCCCTGCCCTATAAGCTTAACTCTGACTCTAAGCTAATGTCATTTTTCAGTTATCACTAATTAGTGATACTGAAAGTGAACTGGGGTAAGGGAGGCTAGTAGGGTGGTCTTGAAGGAAACTACGGAGACGGTAGAGGGCGCTAAAGACAAATATTTGTAGGGACCTACCTGGGACCAGCTCAGTGCAGTCTACACTTAACTTCAGCTAATACGTGTATGTTGAATACCTTTGTGCCTGGCTGGATACACACATAATTTCTGGATGAACAAAAATAAGTAATATTCTGTATAATGCTAAAGAAGAAGTAAAGCAGCCCAGAGAAGGGCCACTTACCCCAACTGAAGGGTTTAGGGAATGCTTCCTGGAGAGGAAAAGGCCTGAACTCAGTCTTAAGGAATGAGAAATCTAGCTAAGCAAAGGAAGTTGGAACTGTGTTCCAACCAGGTGAAGAAAGAATAACTTCATTAAAAGTATTGACTTCTGGGTTCTCTGGGTCATGAATTTGGACAGAGCCAGTGGAAATAGCTTGCCTCTGCTCCACGGTGTCTAGGGCCTGAGCCTAGAATCCTCACACAGTGCGGCATGACTCACTGGGAGATGGGGTCATCTGGCAGCTTCTCTCCTAACACGTCTGATGTCTGGCCTGTGATTACGCAGAACCTGGGCTCAGCTGGGGCTGGCAACTGGAGTGCCCAGTAGTTTGAGTTTTCTCACAGCACAGAGCATAGGAGGACTTCTTATTAGGCTTCTTTACACATCTGCAATCATCAGCAGGGAGTAAGCACCATGAGGGTGGAGAGTGTATCTTATTTCATTCCCAGCACCTAGCATAGTGCTTGGGACATAACAGGCATTCAAGAATTACTTGTTGGATGAATGAATGGAGGAAGGCAGAAACATAATGTGCTTCAGGTCTAAGGGCCTCAGTTTTCTGAGATGTAGGAGGTAAGGGCTTCCTCTTAGAGGGGGTAGATGTTGAGAAAGTCCTTGAGGAGCAGGGTGAATGTTTTGGGAACCCTCTAAGGGGGAGGGACACACAGCAGGACAGCGCCATGATCCACCCATCACAGGATTTTCTGTAGCAGAGCCTGCCACTTGGGTGAACACTGACAGAAGTTTGCTGTGATGACCCAGGGGGTGGGTCTGACTCAGTGTAGGAATGGGGTTAGGGTTTTAAAGGAATTTCAAAGCAGTCCAGGTGAGTAACTAGGGGACCAGCTTCCAAGGAAAGTGAGAAAGGTGGTAGGAAATGAAGGGAAGAAAGAACCGACCCAAGGCCGGGTTCAAGGGCAAAGATGACTGAAATGAGGGGAACTGGAAGGGTAGGAGTTTGTGGTCAGAAGGTGGGGTACTGGAATTTAAGATTTGTATGTGTACAAAATTCAGACGATGATGAGTTCCAGGGTGTGGTCAGGAAATGGGTAGCTGAAGTGCTGACTCCAGTGAGGCCGAAGGAGAGGCAGCTCTTTCTTCATACACTTCTCAGTAAGCTGTAAGGGAAGCATTCTGACTGTGGGTGTTTTCTGTGAGCAACAGCGTCTCCCTTCCCAACAGCAGTCTGTTTTAGGGGAAACAGACTTCACAGATTTTCCCATTGGAATAATCCAATCTCTAGAAACTGGTTTATTACTAAAATGCTACTTGGTTCAAACAGTGCCCACATTTCTTTGATTTCTTTTTCATGTTCTTCAGAGTTTCTCAATACTAATGGTAATGGGTTGGGTGCAGGGAGCAGTGATCCATGTTGAAGACGCTTACTTGGATTAGGGATATTCATGTACCAAGATGAAAGAACATTTATAAAGGAATATAGGTGTACAGAGTATTAAGGTCCAAACACTAGTCACCACAAATACTTCTGCAGCATTTTCATCGTATCAGGTGCTGCTCTAAGGACTTTCGATATGTGAACTCAATCCTCCTAATAGGCCTTTGAAATAGGTACTATAATTATCTTCATTTTGTAGATGAAGAAACTGAGGTTCAGAGAAGTGAAGTAACTTGCCCAGAGGTCACACAGCTAGGAAATGACAGGGCCAGGATCTGACTGCAGGCAGATACTGAAACACGGCAGTGAGGAAGTTAGCCACTCCACCTTTTGGTGGGGAAACAGAGGTGAATTAATAAACTATTGCTCGAGGCTAGTAAGTGCTGGTGCTGGAGCCCCACACAAGGCCGTCTGAGCAGTTAGCTTCCAAGCCATGCTGGCTCTTTCGTCCAGACGGTGACCTTCAATTGTGGAAATGATCTCCCGCCTTGTAGTCTCCCTTTGAGGAGGGATAGCTTCAGAGAAACTTAGTGGCAGTAGGAGTAGTTACTCAACATGTATTTGGGGAATAAACAAATAAATGGACATTGCCACACTTCCTGGTGTCACAGTTGGCCAGTGGGAAGCATTGTACAGTTGAGTAATTCCAGATAAACACAGGAACATGGTGTTTAGAAGCTGCCCATAAAGGAGGAGAAGGCAGACAGAAAGCACAGGAGGGAGAAACCAGGACCCCAGAGGAGAGTGGGCAGCAGCAGGTGCCAGCAGGCACCAGGACTCCCAGGATCCCAGAACCCAGGCCTTGCTGCCAGCAGACCTGAGTGGCAGGTGGGCAGGTGGCATCCCTGCCTGCGTCCCCCTCTCTTGCCTCTAGCTCAGCCGCAAAAACTCAAAGAGCGACCGTGGGGCCCTCAATAAATATTTGTCCAATGAGTAAAGACAAGGGAGGGGGCGTGTTTTCAAAGCCTGTCCTAGTTCTCCCTGTCGACCACACTTCAGTAGTCACCGCCCAGATAAAACTGCCCCGTCCTGGTGACTGTCACCAGCGGAGGAGCCATGCCCAGGTACACGGTGCACGTGCGCGGAGAGTGGCTGGCCGTGCCCTGCCTGGACGCACAGCTGACCGTGGGCTGGCTGGGCCGGGAGGCCGTGCGCCGGTACATCAAGAACAAGCCGGACAATGGCGGCTTCGCCTCGGTTGGCGATGTGCGCTTCCTCGTGCGCCGCTGCAAGGGCCTGGGCCTGCTGGACAACGAGGACCTGCTGGAGGCGGCCCTGGAGGACAACGAGTTCGTGGAAGTGGGTGAGTGGCCAGAGTGGAGTGGCGAATCACATGGCCGGCATCCCGGGGAGGGAATGTTCCCTTGCCCTCCCCACTCCGGGGAAAATGCGCACTGGCCGTGTCTTAAATTCTCACACACCCCTGTGAAGAAGGTGGGATTCTCATCCACCTTTTACAAGGAGGCAACAGACCCAGAAAGGAGGATACATTAACCCAGAGTCAGTCAGGCTCCTAGTAAGCAGCAGAGACCAGATTTGAACCCAAGACTGTGGGGCTGAATCCCTTTGCAGTTACCAAGTCATTTTGAAAGTCCCTTTGCCCTTCAAAGGAACCTCACCAGACTGGAGGCCAGTAGCAGAGAGGAGTTCGGATTTAAAACAAAATAAAGCCAGAGATGGGGATGGAGGTGAGGGTTAGATCTGGAACTTTCATTTAACCCTCCATGTTCACACTCAGCACCTGCACCTCTGCCTTTTGCTCTCCTCTGTAAACATGAAAGCATCTGAAGTCGTTTTAGAGCAGCCATTTCTATAGAATTCAAAGGCAATGGAAGAGCCCTTTCTTGGTTTACCAGTAACCAGTGTGGCTCTCCACTGTGATCCATAAAGGGTCTCTCTTGCACTGTTTCAGTTATAGAAGGGGACACCATGTCCCCTGACTTCATCCCATCGCAACCAGAAGGAGTTTACCTGTATCCTTTCCTGCAGGCTCGTTGGTCTGCTCTGGGGGCTTCTCCTGCCAGTGATGGGGCTGGGGCTTTTCCACACTACCCAGTATTTTCCTTTACCTGGCTACAGATACAGCAAATACCGGGAACCTGAAAAGGTAAGCTTCAAACCACTTCCTTTTTTGTTAATTAAGTCCCCTTCATTTTAAGGAGTAGGGAGGGCCAGCAACATTTATGCCCAAACACCACCAATGAGGACGGGGCTTTATCCAGCTCTAGGTATCAGGGAAAGGCATTATTACTCTTTTCCATTTTTTATTTTTCCCTCCTTGGCTTCTTCTTCTGCAAGCTGTCTTTTCAACTAGCACATTCATGTTCCACAAAGAGTGATCAAAATATCTGAGCTGTGAGGCTTTCCTACTCTCTTGTTTGAGCGACTAAGCTGTTCAGACTCACAGAGATCCCCTTCTTTTGCACAGTACATCGCCTTGGATGGGGACAGCCTGACCACAGAGGATCTGGTCAGCTTGGGCAAGGGACACTACAAAATCAAGGTATGCTGGAGGGAGAGGAAGGATGTCCCCTGAGCTTTCTCACTGCACGTGGAAGTCTTCCACATGCTCAGCTCTGACCAATGTTTTCGTAGCTCACCCCTACTGCTGAAAAGAAGGTGCAAAAATCCAGGGAAGTCATAGACAGCATCGTGAAGGAAAAAACTGGTACCTTTTTCTCTTTATGTTACCCAGGTCTTTTTATCGAGTTAAAAAATGTGGCCTGTGTCTAATTGTATACTGTTTTTTATTCTAGTTGTTTACGGCATTACTACAGGTTTTGGGAAATTTGCCAGAACTGTAATTCCTACCAGTAAGCTAGAGTAAGTTTGATTCCTCCTCACCAAATGCACACACATTTACACACCACCCATTCACATTTTTGAGGTTTCTTTCAACAAGGGAAATAATTAACATTTGCCCCAATTTACAGATGAGGAGAGTGAGGCTTGAGTTAAGTAGCATGTGAGTTGATACAGAAAACCCATACTTGGTGGTGTCTTCCATTGCACCATCTTGCCTTATTCTGCTCCTCCAAAGACTTAGCTGTTTTTCCTTTATTTTCCTAGCTGAGGGAACATTTTCACTGTGAGGTATCTAAGAGGCCTTTTTTTCCTTTTCTCTTCCAGGGAGCTCCAGTTCAACCTAGTACGTTCACATTCTTCAGGTAACTCATTCCAAACGTTAAGTGCCACCTAAATCTTGTCTGATTTGATGAGTGAAGTGCAGTCGGCCCTCGGTATCTGAGGGTTCTGCATTCACAGATCGAATCTGCCTTGGATGTGAGTTGAATCCACAGATAAGGAACCTGAGGATGCTGAGGGAAGACTATTCTACATCACTTTATTCAAGGGACTTGAGCATCCGAGGATTTTGATAGCCAATTTGATAGGTTGGGGCGGGGTAAGTGTCAGGCATCCTGTAACAGCCAAGAATAGGTAGGGCGTTCCGAGGAGTAGGTGCCAATTCTGCTGCTGGGCAGGGAGGCAGGAAGCATCAGACAAGATCACCTTTTGAGTGAATCTCAGAAAAAGTAATGGGCCAGGCAGAAACACAGGGTTGGGATGGAAGCATGAATACAGTCATGCCGAGAGTCATTCAGTCGGGACAAAATTAAAGCTGGAACTCCAGGGATGAGTTGATCTGGACAAGCTGAGACAGAAGAGTCTATCAAGAATCAGCTCCCATCAGACTGCAAAGGAGCTTGTGCTGAGGAGTCTGGACGCTCTTGTAAGGGTGTTGGGGAGGGCGGGGGCTCACTGAAGCATTCTAAACAGGGGAACTGAGAAGGCAAAACTGTAGTTTCACATTTGTCTGCAAGGTGAGACTTGAAGAAGGGAGACAGTCAGGAGGGAGAGCAGTGCAACGATCTGAGCCAAGAAGTGGAGAGAAATTTGAGATGGAGGTGGCTAGGAGGTGGAAAAGACCTTGTTTTTCTTGGAGAAAAACATCAATTCTGTTTTGTAGGTGTTGGGAAACCACTAATCCCCGAGAGATGCCGGATGCTCTTGGCTTTAAGGATCAATGTCTTAGCCAAAGGATACAGTGGCATTTCCTTGGAGACTCTCAAACAAGTTATCGAAGTGTTTAATGGTAATGCCATTGATCCCCAGCTGACTCTCCATTGAGGCTGGGTAGACTTGGTTGACAGGGTGGTGAGAAATAGTGAGACAAGACATAAAACAATGGAGATGAATGGCCAATGGACTTGGCAAGAAGGAGGATAGCTACATGGGGGTGGAAGGTGGGAGTGGGGCAGAGACTCTTACTCCTGTGGGCTTTCATCCATTTTCTGTCACCCTTCACTTAGCACTTGGCATCTTTAAGACTAGAAAGAGCCCCTTAGGTTTAGGCTGGAGAAAACCTTTGATTCAGTGGTGTTTGAATGCAGTTAGAGAAGTTACATCAAATCATCTGGGAAATACAATGATCCCATCCCAAAGACCGATTTGGTAGTTCTGGTTGGTGCCTGGGAATCTGAAATCTTAATGCCCCCCCCAAGTGGTGGGATAGCCAGACTTAAATAACTGAAATTCAGCCTCTTACAAGGTAGAACAGAAATACTGAGATTAAAGACTTGCTTGTGATCATGAAGCTGTCTAGTCCCAAGATACGATGCAGTTCAACTCTTTGGAGCTTAAACTTCTTGGGACAGGAAAATTACAAAGTAGAGACAAGATCTGACATGCTTGGGAGGCCATTGTCCCTTCTCACAAGATAAGGATAAACATTCTGGGTCAGGGAAAACTTGGAGACTCCTGAAATGAAGGAGTGGGAGGAGAAGCAGGTCTGGCAGTCACAGAGAACAAAATCCAAGCTAGAGTTCCCATGGGCACAAGTGACCCGCAGATATGATACGCCAGTCAGTGAATAGCAAGTTGAAAGAACACTCTATGGTATATAAGGCTGTGCTGCACAGACCAGCAGTGATTCAACACCTGTTTCTACTCCCACCTGGTCTGCCCTACTATAAGCCTAAAATCCCAGAGTGTGTGACTTCAGCCATGAACCCACCTATGCTTTATGGGTGAGCCTATAAAGTTGCCTGAGACTTTACCTCCCCAGAGAACCCCTGTTGACACTCTGGTACACCTCATCTTTCTAGAACAACTTGTATTACTTTTCCAATGTAGACATTTTCATATTTTCAGACATCCTCCAATAGCTTTTAATGGTGACACACACCATTCAGTCCTGTGGAAGTCTCTTAATTTCCTATTGAGATCATTTTTAAACTTTTCATTCTTAGAAATAAGGTGGCAATGAACAACAGCTAGTTCCCGATCACATCTTTAAGAGACATTGCTAGAATTTCTAGAAATTTCTGGGTCAGATTAGAACATGCACAATAACAGTAAACAAAGGGGCAGAAGACCAAGGAGAAAGAAGAATTTAAGGGAAGAGATAGTCATTACATGGATATAGGTGCCAGGTCACCTTGTTAGCATGCAGCCTGATCTTGATTCTCTTTAATTTTTATTTATTTGGGGGGTTGTGGTGGTAATTAGGTTTATTTATTTTTAGAGGAGGTACTGGGAATTAAACCCAGGACCTTGTGCATGCTAAGCATGCACTCTACCACTTGAGCTACATCCTCCCCTCCTTGATTAACTCTTTATGTAAACTGTTCCCCCCCACCTCCTTCACACAGTATATCCCAGTGTGTCCTGGCTGAAACGTGTAATGCTTCCCATTGTTCTTGGGATAATGTCCCAACTTAAAGTGGCTTACTGAGAAGGCCTCACTACTTGCAGGGTCCTCCTTCCTGCCTTTCTCTCTTTCTTCCCCTCGCCTCTTTCTTTCTACAGCAGCTCAGCCAGGTCCCTTAGTGTTAGTTGTGCTTGAGGGATTGTCTTTCCCCAGGTATGTAAGCTGTAAGCGATACTACATCCTGTTGGGGGAGGTTGGTGTCAGTGTCAAAGCAAGGATGGCCAGAAGGAAGTAGTCTTGAAGTAACTGGTGCCTGCTTCTCTCCCAGCCTCCTGCCTGCCCTACATTCCAGAGAAAGGAACCGTTGGTGCCAGTGGAGACCTTGCCCCACTCTCTCATCTTGCTCTTGGGCTAATTGGGGAAGGGAAGATGTGGTCTCCGAAGAGTGGCTGGGCTGATGCTAAATATGTAAGACTTTAATAACTGCTGCCATCTGTGGTCATTTCCCTAGGCTGGACGTCAGGGTACTTGCATGCTTTCCATCACTTAATCCTTACAACATCCCAGTGAGGGGGCCACTGTTATTCCTATTCTGTGGCTGTGACAACTGAAGCTTAGAAGTGTGGACAGTCAGGAGCCCAGCCTTAGCACAGTAGGGGTGTCAAAGTAGGTAAGGCTCTTAGCTTCCATACTCAACCATCAGCCTTCTGCACTTGGTGATCATCTTGGTAAAAAGGTATAGTGGCCAATGTTAATTGCAGGAATTTATTTTGCACCTAAAATGCATCTAGTGCCTATCTGGGAGGTCACACATTGTTGCAACTTATTTAGTTGCTGGTCTAACAGGTACAGAGCTATGGATCATAGCACTTACTGAAGGGCCTCTGGAAAGGAGGTTCCATCCCTCCCTCTTCCCCCACAAGCTCTTATCCTATGGCCAATCAGAAAGGCTTGTCTTTGATAACACTTTAGTATTTTCTTCACTCATCTCCAAATTCATCAGAGCAGCCCACAGAATTATTTGAAGTATCACCTGATCTCTTGCTAGGAGGTCCCCTATCAGTAAGTGAAGGGGCAGATGACCAAGGAGGAGGAATAAGTTAAGGGAACAGATAATCCTTCTGGGGGGTGTGGGTTCCAGATCACCTTGCTTCCATGCAGCCTGATCATGACTACTTCTCTGGGTACGATGTTTCCCCGACCCCCTTCACACAGCAAACCCAAGCATGTCCTGGCCAAAACCTGTAATGCTTCCTGTTGTCCTTAGGATAACACCTGAACTTCAAGTGGCTTACAAGAGTCTTGTTTGTCACATTATCCGCCTAGTCCTCCCCCGCCCCCGCCAAGGATGCACATCACAGAAGCCAGAGGTTCCCTGCAGTCCAAGTGTACTGTGTCTTAGGCAGAGGGACCAGCCACGCCCTCTTCTCTTCCCCACTCACTCTGTCCCTTCTTCTGACAAGCCCTCTGGGAAACTTCCCTTTCTGCTCTCCTGGTTCTTTTCCCATCCCCATCCCCATCACCTCGCCAAGTCCCTTTTGCCCCTCCTTTGTGTTCTCCCAGGCTCTTGTGTGATTATTTTCCACCAAACACTACCCACTTCCTACCTCCTAGAGCACTTAACATACTATGACTATAATTGCCCTGAGTCTCCATTTTTCCTACCCTCAGCCCCACACACCCAGAACAGAATTAGCATATGTTATTCTAATAAGCCTGTGAAACTGACAGAGTAAATAGTGCCGCCCTTCCTTCTTCCCTACAGGGACCTTAGCCTAGTGACTGCTTTCATTTTTTTTATTTCAGGGGATGATTATTCTGCCCATTTTCCCTCAGGATGCTGTATCCATCTCTTAGCTCCATAAGCCCCTCTTAATTGGTGCTCACACATTTTCTATACAAGCAAGAAGCCTTGTACTGAGGCTCTGCCAGTGTTCAGATAAGTAGAATGAGGGTAGAGGATTTTTTTAGGTCAAGCTCTGGAGGCTGGGGAATGTGAATAGAGTCAGAACCCAGCCTTAGTGCACCTGTATATAAGTGTGCTAGAAACCAACATTCAGGGTTGATTCTGTAGACACTAGAGCCCCTGATTTAGGTATGCAAATTATTTGATAGCTAAGTCTGCTTGCAGACTATAGAACAGGACTAGAGACTAGACCAGCAAAGATGAACAGAGGCGATTCATGTAGGTCTCATCTTTTATAAGACAGACCTTTGGGCTTAAAAATCTTTTATTGGATTCCACATGAAGTTTGAAATATGCTGGTATTTCATGTGATACCCATTTTTACCTTTTTAATCATTCTACAGGTCCTGGAAGCTCATGGGTTGAAACCAGTTGTTTTGAAACCAAAAGAGGTAAGGAGACGCAACGAAAATGTGTTCATTTTAACAAAATGTAACATAAATTTTAACATAAATCTTCATTTTTGTGCTATTTTCAGTCTTAATATCTGCCTCACTGGTTTCTTAAACTTAGCTTCCATGTTTGTCATAAGTTGGTCACTGGAGAAAGGGCTCTGTCTTAAGCATTTAAAAGACTCTTCATGCCATAAATACTTAGGGCTTCTCTTACAGAAGAACTTAAACTTCAAACTGGGATCTCTAAGGATCCCTAAGAGATGCTACAAGCCAACATCCTTTAGGATGCTCTAAGCCAAGAGTCTTGGACCAGAAATTTTTCAGGGTGTCTTGTCTACAATGATGAGAATTTGAAGAAGAAATGCAGCATAATTAAGAGCTAAAGATTTTATATGCAGTCTACGCTGGCGCTCCATTGCTTCCTTGAGGATGGGGATACTTAACTGCTTCTCCAGATTTAGACTAAGGATTTCATATATGATGGCTTCATCCTTGAGTGCTTAAGAATTACTACCACACACTTTAGAAACCATGAATCAACATCCTTCAGCTGACAGGCTAACTTTTCTCTTAAGAAAGCAAAAGATAAGAAATCAACGTGCACATACACTGGTAAACTTATCTCCCTGTCCCCCAAGGGTCTGGCGCTTATCAATGGGACGCAGATGATCACCTCCCTGGGCTGTGAAGCTGTGGAGAGAGCCAGTGCTATTGCTCGGCAGGCTGACATAGTGGCGGCCTTGACTCTGGAGGTGTTGAAGGGCACCACCAAAGCCTTTGATACCGGTCAGCCTGGTTCTTCCATTTGGTTGCCATTAATTCAGCCAGAGCTGGTGGGATGGGCTGGTTGAGATCTTCAGCCATGGGAGTGGTGGGGGCGGATGGCAGGAGAGAAGAAAATCCAAGTGCCTGTGCATACCCAGTGCTGTGTTACAGCTTCACCTAAGTCATGCCACACTTGGTCTTTGACGTAAGTGCATTTCATAGACAAATGCTGACCCTGCCCTAGATCATCCAGCTCTGACTCCCATCTAACTACGTTGTCTTAGGAATCTGTTTGCAGGATGTGAGAAGTAGGATTAAGGCCGGTCCCCATCAGAAATCAGGAGAGGAAAACTAGAAGTGGTAGCTTATCCTGACAGCAGTATCTTTGAAAGACCCCCTTCTCTTATGAGCAGTAGGACAGAAAAACCGCCTAAAAATGACTGAGTTAAATCAGGCCCTGTAGAGCCCTCTTCCATGGTAAGCCTAAATCTTTTTAGTGTCTTGAGTTGAATTCCCAGTGGGTTCAACACTTAGTCTGCACTCGGATATTTAGAAAGGATAAAGTCAATAAGGAAACTCCTGTTTCTCGAGTTAAGTTTCTATCTTAACTTGAGTGGTGGTTAAGGACCCCTGGGGCTTTTGAGGGCTCTGCCAACATCGTGTATGGTCCTGGGCTATTGGTGATAGTTCATTCTAATATAAGAATTGCTCAGACTCTTTCTCCTTCCTCAATTCTAGACATTCATGCTGTTCGCCCTCACCGTGGGCAAATTGAAGTTGCTTTTCGGTTTCGGTCCCTCTTGGATTCAGATCACCACCCATCCGAAATAGCAGGTCTGGACATGCTTATGTGAGTGAGCTTATTTGCTTTCGTGTTTTGGAGAGAAAACTGCTAATATGTCCCCTGCCACCCCTTCTACCTCTTGTACAGAAAGCCACAGGTTTTGTGATCGCGTTCAGGATGCATATACCTTGCGCTGCTGTCCACAGGTAAGCAAAAATCCAACATGTTTCTACTCTTTCCCCCAACTTAGGGGGGGAAGACAGAAGGAGAGGAAGGTGTTAGAAAATCGTGTAATGGCCAATTATATCCAAATTTCTGTACTGCCCCTATTAAAATTATGTATATCATACTTCCATTTGTTCAATTATTGTAAAGTTTCCATTTTAGATGGTAAGCTACTTGTTTCCCTTTGAATTGCTTTCCTCAGCCCCCTTGCAGAGAAGTCCAACAGACAGCTTACTGTTTTGGTTTAGTGCCCTAAGTAAAAAAAAAAATTCTTAGTAATAGTGGCATCATCCTAATCAGTTAATGGAGTGTTACTGGTTCTCCTCGTTAGACAGAACTAGAACCAGCCTGCCAGGGATGGTCCCAGGAAAATCTAATCACACTTCAAGGGGAATATCTATGGCTAGATCTTATCTGCATTTAATTGGCAGACATAGACCATTATAAATGAATCTGTGAGGCTTAATTTTAAATTTAAAATGCAAAAGATCTGTGTTGGTGTGAAGCCAAGTGAATTGCCGATGTTACAACTCGTTTGCATATGGCAGTTAGTTAAATGAGGGACCGACAGATGCATCTCAGGCATGAAACAATACTTCAGCTTGTGCCAAGCTCCAATCTGCACTGTAATAAAGAGTCTTCCCTAGAGCAAGTACCCTCATTTCTTTGTTCTCAGCAAGTTTTATTCTATAGCTAGATCGAAAACATCTATGGGTAAGAATTAGCTCTACAGTAAGAATAAATCCCAGTTTAGACGTCCTTGCTATTCTAAGAATATCAGACTGTATGTGACAGGCACCATTATCAATGTCTTCCATGTATTAACTCATTTGATCTTGTTTTTTAGGTCCATGGTGTGGTGAATGACACAATAGCGTTTGTGAAGAACATCATTACCACAGAACTTAACAGTGCAACAGATAATCCTGTATCTTTTAACTGTTCACTAAGCTGTAATT